GTTGATGGGGATCAGCTGAGAGTCAGCTGATGCGAGCTTGACTAACGTGACCTGCCAGATCTAATGCTACGCTTGATTTACGTAAGTGAGAATAGCAAAATAAAGTAAACTGTGACATATTATACCCAAAAATTCTTCATACAGTGGACCACCAGTAACATTTATAAAAATTTGGGACCAAAAATTATTCAGACACTTTGACCTTCATATTTTATTACCATTTTCTAAACTATAGCGAATAAACTGTGATAATGTGAGAAATGTTGAAGGTGTCTGAATAAATTTTGGTTTGACTAAAACAGGACGCTTTCTAGTCTCTACTACAGATGGCAGGATTCTAGATTTGTTATAATAGATGGTGGATTTTAGATTAGTAATTTGTTTATTTTATATTTTGGTCCATTTTAAAATTGAGTCGATCTAAATTTAAATTGTTGATCTATTTAGTACTGATATTTCACATATTTAAAAATATTGATTACAAAATAGTCACATGAAAATGTCCCTAATTTGTTTAGATGAAAAAAAAACAAGGTTATTATTGTTTACTAAAAGCACTTAAAATGTGTTATTTGAAATAACCATGTTAAATTAAATTAAATATTCATTCATGTTAAATAAAATAAACTTATTTTATTTCAGCTAATTGCCAACATTTCTCATTTTTGTTTAGTTTAAATTGAAGTATTAAAATAACTAAAACTAATTAATGAAACCTAAGCAGACATGTATAAAAATAAAAATAATTAAAATTAATAAAAAAATAATAAAAAGACAAATATACACTAAGATAAAATAGTTTAAAAAAATAGTTGTATTTTATCAAAAATATAAAAATAAAAACGAATTCAAAGTATTCATAAAAGCTATAAAAGTATATAAACGACACTAAAATATCACTAGAAAAGACATTATAATGGAAATAATCAGTATGAACCTGATGTCAATACGGCGGTGAAAATACTCTTCTTCATCTTCCTCATCTTTCTGCAGCTGACACACACCCTGAGGAAAAACATGCCTTATTTATTATTCAGTTATTATTATTATTTAAAATGCAGACTAAGACAGACAGAGACCCACCATAAACTTAGTGTCTCCTTTAGAAAGCATGTCGGTAACGAAGCCGATGGACTCCAGATGATCCACGACAGCATGAAGGAGTTTGGGCTGCAGGACAGAAATCACAGCAGGAGTTATGAGAGGACAAAAACCTGCATGCATTAAATCATTCAGTCTTTAAAACTGAACGTTCACCTGTTTCTCAGACTGAGAGGTGAAGTCCGGATGGGTCAGCAGTATATCAATATCACCACTCGACTCTGCTCCTGAACATTAACAAATGCAATCATGGCACATTTAGATGATACAAGTGATAAGTGATGTCAAATATCTGGATCAGAACGATCGATAACCTCGTCTGTAGCTGCCGCAGATGGTGCCGATGTACTCGGGATCCACCACATCCAGTTCCTTCAGTATCAGAGTCTGCAAACATCAGGCAAACACAGTGAGACTTCACAAATCTGTAGAAATAAATCATGAAGATCACTGGAAGAAACTCCAACCTCCATTATCTGCATTTCTGCACGAGGGATTCTCTTCTCAAATTCTTCAAAGTATCTTTAATAGATGAAGACAGGAGCATTAAAATTAAAAACATCATCAATAAAGAATAGAGTGCATTCATTAGAAATACATATAATTCACAAATAAAACATTTGTCCTCTAGATCAGGGGTCCGAAGCGTGATATTCCATAGAAAAGGTTTAGAGAAAAATGTAAAAATAAACTAAAACACTAATGCATACACACACACACAAATATTATCCAACTAAATAAATATGTTGATTAAAATGAATTTAATTTTTTTTACATGACTTAAATTGAGTAAAATTAAAAATAATTAAATAATAAATTGATTCAAATAAATTATTTAAAAAATTAAATATTATATATAAGTACAGTATCTGTAATAAGCAGACAAAATAACAATAGAACCACTAACAATAGAAACTATATATGTACAGTAATTTTAATTAACAGAATCATATAGCAGAACCCAGCCTGAACACATATTTATAATATTAATGTTTTTATATATGAAAATATATATCTGCCTTTTAAATTTCATGATGGGGATCCCTCACAGGAGGATGATCATATTTGGGGGCCTGTAGCATCTAAAAGATTGAAAACCCCTGCTCTAGATTAGCACTAACATGAAGCCAAACGAACATTACTGTTGCCGTAAAACAATTCACTAATTTATCTGTTCGAATCAAGACTTACTTTAACCCGATCTGCTGATGATGGTTGAGTTTGTGCTCGATCTTCTTCAGATCTAAAACATCAGGTGAGACTTAAAACACATGCATGTGACGGCAAATAAATATATATGCAAACTAACCGTATATACAAACCTTCTAAGTTCCTGACGCCTTCCTCATAAAACTTCCTGGCCGCAGCAGGACTAAAAAACAAGAGAATGAGTGTGAATTGAGTTTTACAACACTATTGTTATTGTTCTCTTGAAATCAAGGGCGTCGTACCCGATCCCAGTCACTCGGGTTAAGAAGTTGATGGAGGAGCTTGTGTCGTCACTGCGAATCTACAGGACGAACAGACCACAAACATGTCACAATCTACACAGATCTGTTTCTCATATGCACATGTATATGTTAATGCCTTCATTTGCTTTCTCAAAGGTTAAATCAACTATAAAACATGCATTTCTAATGCACTCAAATACCTTTTCCAGCTTGCGCAGTTTTCCTGTCGTTAAAAACTCATCGATTTTCTCTGCTATCTTTGAACCAACTCCATCCTGAGAGGAAAAAGCAATCCTTTATAAAAACTGTGTCCTTTAAAAAATCAACAAGCAAGTATTACTCACATTTCAGGACATTAATACTAGTAAAAACAAAGGATCTGTACCAGTTTCTTTGCTTCTGCCCCACTTTTGATCTTTTGAGGGTATTTGGCGATCACAGACGCTGCTTTTCTGAAACAGAAAACACCAGACAGAGTATAAACATAAGTTACATATGTCATATGTCTAGTTATGATATGATATATTACATTATTAGACATTAGATAAGACTGTCTTACCTGTAAGCATTGTATTTATGGATGGCTCTGTTGACATTTCTCTCATAATTTGCCAATTCTGAAACGAGAAAGACCATTAAGAGTTTAGATATGCCTAGAAAAATATTACTATAAAATGCTTTTCGACATTTATTAAATAAACAAAACAATCAGGAGAATTTGATCAAAGCTGGGCTACCAAACAAATGTGCTTGACATAAACACATTTAAACATAAATACAAATATATAGTAGGAAATAATTGTCAAATATTCGTTGTTTTATTTATAAATTAAAAGTGAGTATAAACACTGCGTACTTTTATTTTGTAGATGGAGCACTACTCTTGAAACTGTACTCTTGATAGCATGCATTAAACTGCAAAAATCGGTGATCGTTGCTGTATTATTTCCAATAGTGTGTAAAGATAGGTCTAACATCCCACTAAAGTGAAGTTTCTTGTTTCAAACAGACGTTTTGTCTGCAAAAGCGCTCCATTTCTATTTATTCGGCGTTTAAAGGTCCAGTTAGCTTAGCCGCATGCTAACCCGAGCTGTCATCAGCAAAACTCACCGATGAGAAAATCTGTGATTCCTTCGTTCAGAGTTTCCTGTGGCGCTTTTCTTTTACTCATAGTTGAGAGTTATTTAAAATATGGGTGGATAAATGTGTTTGTTTTCACTTTCTACCATTCAAGACCACAGCTGAGTACAGGACAAAGCCTTAGCGTTAGCACTGTAGCCACGCAATATGGCGGGGGCGGGGCTTTGAGACCACGCCCATTATACTTACGACCGACCAATCAGAGTCCTTCGTTTAATATTTACGAACACGCCCCGTCGCTGATAAATAAAGTCGCCACAGAAAGTACTTTTGGAATTTTCTGAATGTTTCGTAAATATATGAATTTATCATAAAAAAACAGATCTGAACTAATTTCATACACTCAATAAAAATCACCGCCACACCAGTTGATCAAATGACAATAAGCAAAACTGTTTTTACTTGTATGTACCATAATAAAGCAATGGCATTCAGATTTTAGGTGTGAATATGTTGGGGTACTTTATGGAATTTAATTGACATGATAAAACAAACACTGTGTATTTTTGAGTTTTTGTGGTTGGTGCAGATACTTGTGATTATGCGGAGAGCTGATCAAAGCAGAACAGCTTGTGTAAAGGTGTAAAAGCGCCACTTTTTAGTACTGCAATACTCAAATTAATTTCAATGACACATCAAAACTATTCAATATAAAGATTTGCTAATATCATACTAAATGACAGCATTATGATCAGCACCTTGCCATAGTAGACATTCAACAATTGTTACTGTACATGGCAGCAGAAATACTTTTGATAACAAAATCTAGAAGTAAATATTCCATAATTTACAGACAATTCTGAACTTTTAAACAAATCCACCAAATACTATGGAAACCCATATCTGCTACATAAGAAAAAAAAAATAATACTTTGGTAAATCATAATTATGACATAAAATTTCATAATTACGAGATAAAAGATCATAATAATGAGGTAAAGTCAAAACTGTCACATACTAAGCCATAATGGTGAGACAAAAGTCATTTATGAGATAAATACATAATTATGAGATAATTATGAGATAAAGTCAAAATTATAACACACTAAGTCATAATTTTGAGAATGGAACTTTTGACAAACAATCAAAATTTTAACAAAAATGTCTTCTATGTCATAATTAAAAAATTTCTCACATAATTATATACTTAGTGTGTCATACATTTTCTCATAATATTTGACTTTTCATCTCATAATTATGACTTTTTGATAATTATGGCTGTTTAATCTCATAATGATCTAACCAAAGCATATGATGAAATGATAGCAAAAATGAAATCAATGATTTCTGCCACTAATATGCGTCATATTTAGTCACAGATCTCTTTTTAGTGTCAAGCATTCAAATGCAGTGAACTCAGGAAACGAAAGAGCAGCTGCTGCTCTTAACAAATAACTAATAAATACATAAATATAAAAGAAACCGCTTGATATGAGTGTGGTTTCTCAGGAGTCGACTTTCACATAGACTTTATCCCGTGAGAAGATTTTGATGGCCTCCTCGACCTCTGAGAGCCGCTGGTCGAGTTGAGCGCGTCGAGAGCGAACGCTTATTGTGTCGGCTTTGACGGGGAGAGACTGCAGCTCACTGACCAGAGACCTGTGAGCTACAGACACACACAAATCAATCAGTCCTCTCATCAATAATCAACTAAACATGAAACTGTTCGTGAAGACGTACTGTCTTCGAGGGACTGCAGGGTCTCCTGTCTCTCTCTTTCAGACATCTGAGTGTGTCCAGCAGGAACGAACGGATCAGGAGTGTTTCTCCTCCTCTTTCTTCCACTGCAACTTCCTCTGCTCCAGACTGATGAACCAGATGAGAGACGGTCAAAGTTTAATCCAAAATGATGCAATGATGCAAAGTATGAATATATGGGAAACAGCAGAAACACGTGTGTAAAACAAAATTTATTTTGCATTAAGAAATGTCTTTCATTTATGCTGTTTTTAATAAACAAACAAACAAAGATTCAAAATGCATTATTAGAGTAATGAGAATACAACACAAACTTTTAAACATATTATATACTAACACTCAAAAGTTTGGAGTCCTTAAGAAAGAAAAAATAATCATATTTTTATTCATAAAGCATGCATTACATTGATAAAAATGGCAGTAAAGACATTTGTAGAGTTTTATTTCAAATAAATGCTGTTCTTTTCAACTTTATAATCAAAGAATCCTGAAAAATAAAATGTATCAGTTTCCACAAAAATATGACGCAGCAAAACTGTTTTCAACATTGATAATAATAATCAGAAATGTTTCTCGAGCAGCAGATCAGCATATTAGAATGATTTCTGAAGATCATGTGACACTGAAGACTGGAGTAATGATGCTGAAAATACAGCTGCGCATCACAGAAATAAATGACATCTTACAATATATTCACACAGAAAACAGCTATTTTGAATTGTAATATTATTTGAAAATTTTCTTGTTTTACGGTATTTTGATCAAATAAATGCAGCCATATATTCTGATCTTACTAGGTTTGGCTGGGCTGGGGTTCAGCGCCACACCCTCCAGCTTCAGCAGGTCTCCCACAACCCCTTTCTGTCCTCTCTCTAGGATGTGAGCGGCGTTGGCACCAATGCGGGGTCGAGGGGTGCAGCGGGCGCTGTAACACCCAGGATCTGGTGCTAACGGACCCTTCAGAAGAGGAGACGAGCCGCTTTGAGCGTTCCCCTCCAGCCGACCACGAGCTTCAGCAAGAATCCGAGAGATGAGATGAAGCATCACACACATGCAAAAATGAAATGAGCATCACGGTTTCAATCTTACCAGAGGACGGCCGTTTATAATACTCAGGAACCAGTGTGGGGTCTGGAGGAATGGGACCAGAGATCGCTGAGGGCCCTTCACACATGCTGCTGCTGCAGAGGAGTTTAGGACAAGTTTAATTCATCTAGTAAGGGCAAATACAAATAAAGCTTAAAATCAAACTTGTTTCATAATGCACAAAAGGTACTCTGCAAATGGGGTTAATATAATTTAATATTTTAAAAGTTAAAATAATTACTATGTTTTATTTATGAGTACATATATTTCTATTTTATTATTTCTATTATAATTAATTTATATATTAATTATTTTATATTCAGACCAGAATACTCTTAATATTCAGAGGTAATGTAATTTACTTTAATTTAATATTTATAAAAGTTAATATAATTATTATATTTTATTATTTTATAGTATATATTTTATATTCAGACCAAAACGCTCTTAATATTCAGCGTTAATATAATTTAAGATTATAAAAGTTATTATGTTTTACTTATAATTGTACTAATTTCTCTTTTATTATTAATTATATTAGATATGCACATATTAAATGTTTTACATTCTGGCCAGAATGCTTTTAATATCCGTCTAATGATCAGCGAGGTCAACAGGTAATTATCATAAAATAAACACGCATTCATTTACATCAGCTTTTAGCAAGCAGGACTAATATATATGATGTGCATAATTAATTTTCATTTATTTGGTCCTGCATGAACTCTTACCGTCAGTAAGCACCTGCTGATTCACATAATATCCGAATTAGAATGATCAGTCGCCATATTATTCTATCTGAGAGCATAAACGGTAACATGTATAATGAAAACGAGTTCCTGAAGAAGCTTACCTTTAATTAAACCCTCAATTCTTTGATAATTGTGCAGATACTGCGCGGTATTTGCTCTAATCTGATGACGCATTAACAACAAGCGCAAAACTTCACCATGGCAACAACGCCTTAAAGAGACAGCAGCAGTGCAACCTTATCGATCACACATAATCACCACTGATCTATACATGACTGAAGTTCTCTATTATAGATCAGTGATAATCACTCATTTATATAATATAGCTTCATTATATAGCATATTACAATAAATACGCTAACCATATTATTTAGTAGTATCACTGGGGTACACAATAAGTAAATAGTATACTATGTGTATACTATATATAATGTTGATTTTGTATATAAATGTTTATTTTAGCAATTGTATTTGTTGTTAAATGTTTTGTCATGACATAAAAAACTATATATATATATATTATATATTAAAATAGACAAGTGTGCGTGTGAGTGTGTATTAAAATCATGCATTTATAATATATATACGCACAGTAAATACAATTATTAGTAGTAGGATTGGAATTACTATAACTAAAATTAATATTTCGCTCAATATGTGCTTATTTCCTCCATCTTTATATATTCAATGTGGACATTTATAAAATCATTACAGTCTTCATTCTTTTAGAGGTTTGCAAAAATCTGGGTGAATAATAACGTGGTTTTTCAGGAGAAATACGAGTTCAGAAATAAAGTTAAATATCATATACATTTACATAATCGAGGAGGAAAAATAGGAGAAGGCTGCGCATGCGCGGTTCGCGTCCGTTAGAAAAAGGCTGCAGATTGCGCATGCGCGGTTCGCGACGCGTCTGTTCCCCTTCAGTCTGTCCTTTCGCGCTGCACAGAAACACCGTCAGGAACATCGACACGGCAAACACGGTAGGCTTTTACTGATTTATCCTCAAAGCATTCTGCACCGCAACATTACTCGATACACCACAAATACACAAGCGTTCACAAATTCAGCTGAGAAATAATGAGCGCTGCTGTTATTTTGGAGCTGTTGTTATTCCGACAGTTCGCGTTCTGGGCCGCAGAGACGTTACGACAGCATAATACTGATTATTATTAAATCACTGTCACACACATTCACCTTTAATTCATAAAATCGCGCGTTTTGATTCTCATGCTAGTGTGTTATGCGGCTAATCTGTGTTTTGACACACAACGTGTCGGTGTTTCATCAAGGACACTGATTCTCTCACCGTATGCTCGTGTAACTTTGATTTTAACGGGTTGAATGTAAAACTTTATAACATTGAAGTTTCACTGATCTGCTTATTACAATATAACACTGTTTCTGTGATGATCGTTATATTATTAGCGGAATAACGGACTGCCTCGCGCCGCCTCTGACGTAACGGTCCGAAAAACCAATACACCCGCTCGCTGAAGCCAGTAACGTTACTCTAATTGATACTGATACTGATAATTGATCTTGAAGGTATCAAGCTGACCGTTATTCGTTATCTGGGCGTTGTGCGTGCGTCGCGTCAGTCACGCGCGATGCTTGTGCAGCCTTGAGCGACTTTCTTTCTTTCTCTCTCTCTTTGTGTGGTTTGGTTGGGACCGTGCTGGGAATGACAGCTGTTATCCAAATGATATACAAAAACATGATCAAATCCGCTAAAACATGATCTGAATGTCCATGTGTGTGTGGTGTTTGTTATATTAGGCGCATATGGAGCTCATTGAGACGTCTGCCATTGTTCTCTGATCTCTCATTGTTTTCCTGTACATTATAAACATGTTATTTTGTTACCTTGTTAGGAGTCGGTCACGTTTTTAGGGATTTATTTCAAATATGTAATATCAATAATCAACTATGTTGGGCTAAAACTATTATAATAACTGTAGCTTACTTAACCATTAGCTAAGTAGTTTCTTCTTTGATTTGAAAAAAAAAAAAAACAAGCAGAACTGAATGTGAAACCATAACTGAAACTGAAGCAGCTTTATTTTTTTGCATATCTTTTGTACATATCAGCAATTTTTTACATATCTTTCACATTCATAAAGAGTCTTAATGCCATTGCATATCATATGCAGTGGTGTATAACAGTGTATTATGCATGCATGTGTGATTGAGTGGTTTATTACAGAATTATAGGAAAGGTGATAATATTTTTAATAATATTTTATATCAGATTATACTAATAAATGGCACCATCTGGTGGGTCTCTAGAGCAAAACACCCATTAACTCTCTACATTCAGTAAAAAAAAATTCTTAAAAACAAAGTTCACAAAAAATTCACTTATTTAATATATTGCTTGCATCATTTTTTTTACAGCCATTCATTCTCAAGTGAGCAGTGCATATAATTTATTGTTATTTTTATTATATTATTCATAGCATAAATAATCATACTGTTGTTTTTTTTTTATTGTTGTTAGTTATTATTGTGAAAAAAACAGATATAAAACAATAAATAATAATCAGTTCTGCTCATTGGTTCTATGATAATTAATACAAATCATTTGTATATCATAAAATAGATAGATACATAGATGACAGATAGATAGATAACTTAAAATACACTATATAGTCAGGATAAGGTTGCATTATAAAGGCAGTAAGCTCTTACCACAGATGTTTTAAGACTGTCATTGAGATTGTGTGTTTTTCCCACGAGCTGCACTCACTACTGGCCCTCGTGTCTGAGGACATTCACTAAAGTGCAGTGATTTGTTCATGATTGATGAGCGTCTGGCACCAAACTGAGACTGTGAGAGCTGTGCTTCAGTAAATGGTGATAAATAGCAGGTTGATTTTATATAGGCTTTTAAAGCTGTGGAGATCACATGATCTCAATATGGCGATCTAGAATAAAACTTAGCTTTTTTAGAAGAGCGATAGAGTCATCATCTCATGCATGCATCATTTTAAACAGATGTGGTAAATGTACAATTAATTTCTTAAGAATTAAGCTACATGTGGATGCATGCTTTGCAGTCAAAGTGTTCAGTGTCGAGGAAAACATTTCCCATTTCGTAACGCCTCACGTCACAGGAGCTGCGGTGTCAGTGTAATCTATTTTTAGAGCATGTGTCTGTGGCTATGAGGGAGGGGAACGCTCTCGTAAAGACACTGTATCAGTATCCCATCACCTGGGATCAAGGGCAGAGGTTGCCATGGCGACCGCCTCCGTCTGATCTCACACACCTGGTGATGCTCATCGATGCCGCAGGCTCTGTCATTGTGTTATGCAGGTAGACAGTGTGCTGTGGTTGATGGTGTGTGTTTGATTGTTTGATTGTGATCTCTGACTCCAGATCATGTCTGAGAAAGGACAGAAGCAGAAAGAGACGCATGTGAAAGGAAGCAGTGAGAGCTGCCATCACTGCAAGCCAAAGACATGCGGTGAGTGACGGACAGAGAGAAGACGGACCAACAACAACCTCACACAGATAGACAGATAGACAGACAGACAGATCAATAGATAGACAGACAGACAGACAGACAGACAGACAGATTGATAGATAGATAGATTGATAGATAGATAGATTGATTGATAGATAGATAGATAGATAGATAGACAGATGATAGATAGACAGACAGATCGATAGATAGACAGACAGATTGATAGACAGA